ACTACTACTACTACTACTACTACTACTACTACTACTACTACTACTACTACTACTACTACTACTACTACTACTACTACTACTACTACTACTACTACCACCTAGCACCACCCTACATACCTACAACATCAACTTCTGATCCAAATCAACACCAAAACCACTTCCTTCGTTACCCATCCCAACATAACAGTCTACACTCTAAATGCACAACATCAACCTACGATGTATGTACGTATGTTTGTGACCCATCACAACATCACACCCGAGATGGCGCCATCGGCAAACCACATTCGTGATCGTCGCCGCGGCGCCCCTCTGCCTATGAGAACTCGTCTTCTGCAGCGCAGCTCGGCACGCCATTTTCCTCCACTGATGGTTACATGCTTCCTCTTGGTTTGTACTCTGTATTATGGTTGGGTTGGCTATGCCGATGCCAGGGGTACTATTCACGGGTGAGTGCGGTAAGTGAGGGGCTGTGAGGGGTATATATATATTGCTTCCCCCCATCTATCCCCAACTACCACTAACTTCACTAAATCGATTAACCTTGCGACCTGCTTCCTTGACTTTATCTGATCTACTACACATTTCATCCTAATTTACCGTGGTGATTACTACAATGGCCTTAACTCAACCCCTCCCCACGAGCACCAGTACCACCCCCATCTCCAAAGACATCTTCCCCGACGGACTCAAAACCACCGGCCAACATCCCCCTCTCTCCGAACACATTCATCCGTTCGAGAAATTCCCGACCCAAATCACCGGCCCTACCGTCTGGGACGCCGAAGAATATCGCGACCACCCGGAGAAATGGACCCATCGGTTTACCGACGAGGAGATTGAGGAGTTGTCCGTTGCGGCGGATGAGTTTTTGAGGGCCAAGATTCCGATGACGGGGATAAGTAAGGTATGCCTCCTCTTCCTACTCCTCTTTCTGATCGGTTTGAATGTATATTGGATGGTATATGGGATGGGATGATACTAATCAGATACATGTAGGGTAACTTCCCCCTCCCCACCCTCTCCACCCGTCTGCACGGACTCCGCGCCGATCTCCTCGACGGCAAAGGATACATTCTCTTCAAGGGCTTCCCCGTGGAAAAATGGGGTAACCACAAGTCGGCGATCGCGTATATGGGTCTCGGCACGTATCTGGGGTATTTTGTTAGTCAGAATAGTCGGGGTCATGTTCTCGGTCATGTTAAGGATCTCGGCGAGGATCCGACGCAGATTGATTCGGTAAGGATTTATCGGACGAATGCGAGGTATGTCCCTCCACCCTTTTTTTTTTTTTTTTTTTTTTTTTTTTTTTTTTTTTCTTTGCTTTGTGGGGATGGGGTTTGGCGGGTGCTGATTCATGTAGACAATTCTTCCACGCAGATGATTCCGATATCGTCGGATTACTGTGCATTCATCGTGCCCGAGAAGGGGGCGAGTCGGATCTGGTCTCCTCGCACCACGTTTACAATACGCTCGCGAAAGAGAGACCAGATGTGCTCAAGACCCTCACCGAGCCGATTTGGTATTTCGATCGCAAGGGCGAGACGAGCAAGGGACAGGAGGAATATATCAAGACGAGTGTGATTTATCTCGAGCGTGGGGACAACCCTCGCGTGTATACCAAGTGCGTTGTTGGGGTGCTCGTTGTCTCTGGCTGAAACTAACCGTGGCAGATGGGATCCCTACTATGTTCGCTCCCTGACTCGTTTTTCGGACGCCGGTATCATCCCGCCGCTGTCTGCCGCTCAGGTCGAGGCGCTGGAGGTCCTCGAGGCGACGTGTAACCGTCTGAAGCTGCATATGATTCTTGAAGTCGGTGATATTCAGTTCTTGGCGAATTCGCATGTGCTGCATGCGCGGACGGCGTATGTGGATCATGCGCCTCCGACGCCGCGACGCCATCTGATGCGGTTGTGGTTGGCCACGCCGGAGAGTGAGGGTGGCTGGAAGTTGCCGTTCTGGGATAGTAATGAGAAGAAGAGAGGTGGGATTCAGGTTGATGATCAGGCGCCAGTGGCTCCGTTGGATGCTGAGTAGATGCTATGATTGTTTGTCTGCTGTATTTTAGCTTAATACCATGTGTGATTAGTTGATGTTATACTCGTGATTCGTAACTCATACATTGATCGTGATGTCTACTGCACCATCTTGTAATTTCCCCCGCTGACGATCTCGAGCTTCCCCTTGGATACCATCCCGGCGAGGAACTCGCGCAGCTCTTCGTTGCTGTATGGGAATCCTCCAGGGACGGCGATCTTCAACATCATCACGATTCGTTGCAGGGGCATGGCGCCCTGGTTGGTCAGCATGCCCATGATGAATTGCCAGTATAGATTCATCTTCTCCATGGCCGCCGCTTCGGCTGATTCCTTCGCAGCAGCTGCCGCGGCTGCATCAGCTTCGGCGGCGGCTTGTGCGGTCTCCGCAGACTGGTCCTCTGCATCAACGGCCCCCGATGCACCAGTGTCCCCTGTTGCATCACCCTCCTCGCTTGGAAGGACCTCCAACACTCGGAACACATCGCGTTGCACTTCCACGAGAATGCGCTTGCTCACCCAGAAGAGACATGCGCTACGCACCAGAGCAGCCGACATCCCGAGTTCACTGGCAAGCTCGTCCGTCGTCTTCGTCGACGCATCCGAATTGAACGCGTAGATCACCGTGGCCTGCCAGGTGGTCACCTCATCCACAAACACGCGGTCCTCGAGATCCAGCTCGACGGTGACCTGGCCCAGCCCGTTCAACCAGGTGAGCTTGCGCGATTGCTTCAACGACCCGAATCCTTGCGAATACCGCTGCTGCAGGGCAGAAATCTCCTCTGGCACCTTGAACTCCGGTCCTTGGAGCTCCGGCCAGAAGAAGTGGGAGAGAATCTTGGCATGCAGCTCGGGCATGTCCTCTGGTTCCCTTCTACCGTCAGGGGTAGCTGGCAGTTGCCTGGAGTGCTTGCCATCCAGTCCTTGGTCATTGCGGATGACGGCATCAACGCGACGGGAGTCGAAGATATCCCGCAGCATGACCTCGCATGCTTGCAGGGCATTGTCACCAAAGCGGACCTTGAGAAGTTCAAGGACGGACATCTCCTGGTCGAATTCGGCGCGCTTCTGTAGTAGCCGCTCGCCCAGCATGCTCTGCATCTCCTTGACAAACATCTCCTTGGACTCGAACAGACTGATCAGACTTCCAATCACATCAGATGTCTTCGACTTGCGGTAGTCTGGTGCCGCGTCGACCGGGTCAGGAACCCAGTTCATGTCGTCCCAGTCTAGCTCGCCACTGTCAGCCCGCAGAGAGTTCTGATGTGCTTTGGTCAGTTCGGCCGACAGCTCCACCAGCGTGTCTGTATGAGAAGCCGTCTGTCCATCCGCCTCGGCCGGATCAGCCAAAAGTCCGCCAACAATAACCTTGACCGTGTCGTCGCGATCACGAAGATATCTGCGAATGGGCCGAGCAATTCGGTCGAGAAGCACCCCCTTAGGGTCTAACAGGTTAAATGCCCGGATAATCGAAATGTACACCTGCAGAATCTCGACTGTAGAAGCACCCGGGTGCAACAATCGCTGATTCAGAACGGCAATAAACGAGTGTGTCAAGTGAGACCGCGCTGCTGGGTACGTAGTAAAGTGCCGTAAATCTTCAATCGCTCCACTGCTCGCAGGCCACTCGACGATGATATCAAAAAGCTCGCCCGTCCGAAGTGCCCCCAAGCGAGCAATCCCTATTTCCTGCCACTTCTCCACATCACTCAGACTCACATCCAGGCAGTCTGGTTCCCTGACCCCAGAATCTGGCGCGTTAATAATCGCTAGGACCTGCACGACCAAGCGCGCAAACACATTCTCAATCCAGTGCCGCAGATGGTGGGACACAAATGACGGCCCCTCCCACTGTCCGGTGTACGCCGCTCGAACAAACTCGCTCAGCATCGTATCCATCACACTAGCAAACACCTTTTGCGCCCTGTCACCGCCCATCCCGACCAGCTGTAGTCCATCAAAGAGCCCCAACAGGCGTTCCCGAGCTGCACTGACCCGCGCGTCCTCCTCGGTCATCAACTGCATTCGGACGGCGATAGACGGCTCATCGCGCCAATCCTGGTACGAGACCGAATATCGCCGATCGACCTCCATATTATCAACGCTCTCCGCCTCCTCCTCCTCCTCACTCAATGTATCGATCCCCAGTATAACCAACGCTTCCGTGGTAATCTCCCGAGTCAGCAGCGTAGACCTCAACGACCACGGCAACGCATACGCAATCATCATATGGAACGACCTGCGCAATTTGACAAACACGCTCTCCTGCTCCGCGCCATCCAACAGCGGCAGCAGAAACTCCACCAGAGGCGCAAAGTAGATCCTCCTCGTCAGCTGCAAACAATGCACAATCTTCTCCAGCAAACCGTCCTTCTCAGGATGATTCAGAAGCTGTAACCAATCAGCACCCAACCGAGATACCTTTTGCAAGAAGCCCACCTTGAACAGCCCACCCCTAAAATTCTTCAAAAAGTGCCTCTTAATCTCATACCCATACCACTCCAGTAAATTCTGCATATCGCCCTCCCCCTCCACCCCCATCGTAATCGCCTTCATCAAGTATGCCAGCGCCTCCAGCACCTCCCGCGACGGCTTCTGATCCCGATTCGACAGTCGCAAGAACTCTGCTTCCCCGATCGCTTCATATCGGAGCAGCACCTCGAACCCGCAATCCGGAATGGACAGGAACGCCGTCGCGGCCTGCCAGGCCCGATCCCACGTCGCTTGGTCCAACCATGGCTCGTCGACGTCGGTTTTATCGGATGCGATCGAGGAGCGGAATTGCGAGGAGCTATCGCGAGACTTCACGCTCGAGGAGAAGTTGCAGAAGAGGCTGGAGGTCGTTGGTCCGGCTGCGAGGCCCGCGGACGGGAAATCTTCTAGGGACGCGGGGGGGAGGATGGAGCCGAAGACGCGTCGGCGGCTGGTGTAGAGGGCTGTTGTGGATGGCATGTTATTGTCAGGGGGGGAGTCATTGCATTGGTTAGGGATTGCGATTCAGAGCTCTCAGCTGAGCTGTGGTTTGGTGTTTGTTGATGGTGTTTGGAGCAATCATGGATAATGCGGTTAGTCAGCTGATCAGGCTTATCGATAAGAGTCCGAAAGAGGAAATATTCAAACAGATGGTGTAGCAGTGCATACTAGCTAGTCTTAGGTGGATGTAGTGGCCCTCAAACGCTACTGCATAATTTCTAGTGTTGTCTCACGTTGTTGGGTTGCTCAATGTTGAAAGTTGTTGTATTCTATGTATAAAGGAATTGTCGTATCATATGCCCAAGATATATCCTACGGTTGCTGTCATAGCAAAGCTATGAGATACCTTTTCTCTGCCGCAAAATACTTGGTTGTGGGATTCGGCATGCAACTAGTATGAGGGTACCCCCATCTTCTTAGAATATCTACGTATGGTCAAGGACGGATTGGTAGGAATTGCGTGCATCCTCTGGGCCAGATAAGAGGCAATAAGAAAAGCAAGGCAGGACAAGAGCTGCCATCTTTTAACCACCATATGATTGGTGAGCTCCTCCGATGTGGGTATTTACTGCCCGCAGCTTGGAGTGCGTGGGATGTGTTCTGCCGGGCTAAGGGATGTTACACGATGCAGGTTGGGCTTATCTCTTTGCCGCGGTCTTGCCTGTGATTATGATAAGAGCAGGAACCTATACGGAGTACAGTAACTGGTTATAGCACAAGCTCTAATTCATTCCCGGCGTGTATCAGTCATCTATGGGTATCTCGCCGGTACGAGAAATCAGAATGCCTCTCTTCGATATAGGATACGACATGAAAGTATGGTGTAGATGATGCAACGTATAGACAATGGTGGGCCACACGGGCCCCTCGGGTGCATTGTCAGTCCCCGACAATGTCCCACACTGCATGCCTAGGTTGCCTTGCCGTCATCCACCTTCTCCCACTCGCTATCGGTACTTTGGTAACCCGAGCTGTCGCCGCTCACGCTCAGGCGCTTCCGAACTCCGCCGTGCTCTTCAGGGGGCTGGAGAGTTGCCGAAGCAGCAATGGACCGAGGAGCGGCAGCGGTGACAGCTGCACCTTTGCGCTCGGGCAAGCTTTCTGTCTCTGTATCACTTTCGGCACTGTCGAGCGCACCCGGGGTCTTCCGATTGCCGTCCAAGGATTGGCTCTCTGCAGGCTCCTCCGAGAGCTGCTTTTTCTCCACCTCCTCCGCCTGCACCCGCCTCAGCTCCTGAGCAAACCAGTTGATGGACCACCATAGGGCACCGGACAAGACAGATAGGACGACAAAGTGGATGCTGTACGTGGCCACCAGCAGGGCAAACAGGAGGGCTTGGAGGGCGGCGAAGGTGACGTTGGTCGCGATGAGGAGGGTGGGGGTGGGACCCGGGGTAAAGATGCTAGACCAAAGATCCTCCATAAACGAGCCCATAATTTCGGATTATGCGCGATTGCGGCTAGTTGCGGGGAACGGTTGGGGACTTGGGTCACAAGAGAGCGGCTCTGGGGTAGGGGGTACTGTGGAATGACGTTGCTGCCGGAAACTGGAATCCGTTGTTGTGCTGAGATTTTCCCTGCCTAATGATCGGTTCGCGCAACAACCGTTAGCAACACACGCAACTCGGGACGCGAGCGACCACCGGAGCAGGGAATCGGGATGTCAGAGGCGACCACGGACCGATAAAGGAATGAGCAATGCCGTGCAGGAGCGAGCAACTGATGCAGGTGGAAGGTAGGACGAGGACCGGTGGTCGACCGAGCAGACGGTCGGCGTTTGAGCAAAGGCAGGTGGGGAAAAGAGGAGAACGGGAACTGGATCCTGGGCCGATTTGCCAGGAACTAAGGGTGAAGTTTAAATCCCCGTGGGGAGAGATACCGCTGCCGTTCAGACTGAGATAGGGAGGAGAATTCAAAGAGCAGCTGGAGGAGGAGAAGAAGAATGAAGACGCGGAGGACGCCTTTGGAGAGCGTCACGTCACGCCCGCCCGAAGGAGGGGCAGCTGCCCTCGCCGTAAGGTTACTAAGGCACTCATGGTTATCATCACGGGACCTTCAGGCACCGATCTCCCATGATCACAACTGACCGACTGGTTGAGTTACAGCATCCTCTGATAAGGTAGCGCAGTTTGGGCAACAGGGCAACAGGACAGCCTCACACCCAAGCCATGGTTGTGTCTTCTTCCGGTAACCTCCACGGGCCCCCTGGTTGGATCAACACATACTCTCACTTTGGCCAAAGCACAAGTGTCTATCGAATACCGTCGATCGGCTTTCGACCTGACGGCTTCTCTGTCTCGATTGCCGCAACCGCCCAGGTGATGCAGCATCCATGGCACCTCATCCCGCAGCTGCTTTCGGGCATCTCAATCCCCTCTGATTGGCGGCGGAAGAAGCACCATCCATGAAGATACGCTGCGTTGATCCATGGCAGTCGAGGACGATGACATAGGCTGTCTGATCCGAATTGGCGTTGGACAGTCGGATGCATCCTATTCGGCCATGCGTACAACAGTGGGCCTCTAGCCATGCGCCTTTCCTCCGACACTAAGACTGGGTGAGACAGTCCTCGATTTGCTCATCTGGCCGGAATGGGGAGATGGTGATACCCGCACGTGTTGTCGTCACGGGGATGGCCGGTTCTCACTCGGAAAATTCAAGAATGTAGGAGAAAATGGTCCCAGCAGATGTTTTGATAACAACGTGCACTATTGATCAGTTGAACCCTAAAGACAGCTGCAACACAGGCAACCGGCTTTCGATGTAATTCCATCCCACGCCCGCGCCATTCTAGTGACTTCTGAGCCAGGGTGAATCCATCTCCACCTCGCGCTTCCCTGTCGGTCTCCGCCCGCGACCCACTCCCGTCCAGGCCCTGCCATTCGACACTCACCTGCAGATCGCAGCTTAGGGTTTGTTTCTTCTCTCCTCTTCTGCCTCATGGTTATGGAAACACCCGAATCCTACCGTTCTTACCGTTCGGCCTGCTACGAATCATGTCGCGCTGCGGTCCTTGTCTTTCCTCGGGCATCTGGCTCCTTCTGGTTGGCTACCCGGGTTGATTGGGGGTGGTCGATATATCTATATAAGTCGCGATGTACTCAGCTGTTCCTTTACTTCCTGGTATGACAATTCACGTGCCACCTTTCCTTCCACAAAAAGGCATCGCCTTAACCCGGGCTGTCCTTCTTTCTTCCTCGTCTGTCATCTTTGTCTTTTCGTGTTCCGTACTTCCATCAATATGGACAAAAAGTCCACCGAGCCTGCAAAGGACTTATCCCCGGATGGTCGTTCGTCTATCCATGGGTTCACCCACCATGCAGAGGATATCTTGCCTGATAGGGAGCCCTATGGGCCCCCAGGCGTCCGGGGTCTTATTGCCAATCCATTCGTTCTCATGTGTGCTGCCTGCTCGACATTGGGTGGTCTCACCTTTGGTTATGATCAGGGTGTAGTCTCAGTCATCCTGGTCATGGATCAATTTTTGGAACGTTTCCCCGAGGTGAATTCGGGCTTCTGGAAAGGCTTGATGACAGCAATGATCGAACTAGGGGCATTGATTGGCGCATTCAACCAAGGCTGGATCGCAGATAAGATCTCTCGGCGATACTCCATCATTGTCGCGGTTTGCATCTTCACGATTGGATCAGTACTGCAGACAGCTTCAGTTGACTATGCCATGTTGACAGTCGCCCGACTGATCGGCGGTGTGGGTATTGGCATGTTGTCAATGGTTGCTCCTTTGTATATCTCAGAAATCAGTGAGTACCGGATGTGTGATCTCATATCGGCGTCCGCTGACCTATTATGACAGGCCCACCTGAGTGTCGAGGGACTCTTCTGGTGATGGAGGAATTGTTCATCGTCCTTGGCATTGTCATTGCATACTGGATTACCTATGGCACTAGGTACATGGCTGGAGAATGGGCATGGCGCCTCCCCTTCCTGCTACAGCTGATCCCCGGCTTTATCTTGGTGGCTGGTGTTATCATGTTGCCCTTCTCCCCAAGATGGCTTGTTGCCAAGGGAAGAGAGGAGGAGGCTCTCCACAGTTTGTCAAGACTGCGCCAATTGCCAACCTCCGATAAGCGTGTTCGGCAAGAATTGCTGGACATCAAGGCGGAAGTCCGCTTCCATCAGCAACTCAACGCAGAAAAGCACCCCACCTTGCAGGGTGGTGGGCTTAAGAATGCAGTGCTGCTGGATTTGGCATGCTGGGCCGACTGTTTCCAGAAAGGTTGCTGGCGGAGGACGCACATCGGTGTCATGATGATGTTCTTCCAACAGGTAAGCAACGAAGACATGACAAATCCTTGGAAGAAACTAACAACAGTGGGTAGTTTGTTGGAATCAATGCTCTCATCTATTACGCGCCTACGCTGTTCGAAACCATGGGATTAGACTACAGCATGCAGCTACTGATGGCGGGTATCGTGAATGTGGGCCAGCTGGTAGGAGTGACTACTAGTATCTCGACAATGGACAAGTTCGGTCGACGGGCCCTGCTTCTATGGGGAGTGGCTATCATGGCAATCTGCCACATTATTGTCGCTGTCTTGGTTGGCCTCTACTCCGACAACTGGCCTGCGCACCGTGGACCGGGCTGGGCCAGTGTAGCCCTTTTGCTTCTCTATATGGTCGCGTTTGGTGGCTCCTGGGGGCCCGTGGGATGGGCATTGCCAGCTGGTAAGCACCTATCGTTCAAATACGAGGGGAATCGTATCTAACTACTCGCAGAGGTCTTCCCATCCTCTCTTCGTGCCAAGGGCGTAGCCCTGTCGACCTGCTCCAACTGGCTCAACAACTTTATCATTGTGAGTATCCCATAATACTCCTTTGGAGAACGCTCTCCTAACAATTATAGGGCCTGATCACGCCACCCCTAATCGAAGACACCGGCTACGGCGCCTACGTCTTCTTCGCGGTATTCTGTGTCCTCGCATTTGTATGGACTTTTGTCTTCGTCCCTGAAACCAAGGGCAAGAGTCTGGAGCAGATGGACCAAGTGTTCAAGGATAACTCGAGCGAAGCAGAAAAGGCTCGCAGACGTGCCATCGAGGCAGAGTTGTTGAGAGAGGAGGAGCAGGTCGTTCTCGGGGCTTAACATTTCTGTCCGCACGGGTGCATTGGTCTACTGGTAGACTCGATGCGTTTCTATTCATTGTATATCATGATACTTAGCTAGGATTAACGATTGATGAGTGATGTTAAATCTGCCATCCAAGATACATCGTATGAATCGGATGTCCCGGATGTCCGGATACCCGCTTACTAAGGAAACCTTCCGAGTGGTTAGTATGCTTGTATTGCTTCGTATTTGTGTATTTGGGATTATCAGGCCATTTTTGGGATGATATGCCGACAGCCTTATAAGTAACAGTGTATAAGTGTTTGCCGTTCCCTCATATACTCAGTTTATAGAGCTTCTGTTACAGTAGTGGCCAGGGTAGACTAACCAGGAGTATTGTACAAGCCCCCCCTACGCGCCGAGTTAGTACCTAAATAGTAGTTCTGTTCATTAGCACGACTGAATTCACTAAATTAGTAGCATAACAAAATAACATCTAAACAAGGGATGTAACTCGCACTGCTTCACAAACAACCTACAAAGACAAACCTTCATACATACACACACTCACACATCTTTACCAATCAACGCCGCCCATCGTATCTGCATCTTCCGAACATTATGTAAACCAGGACGGCTCGGTTCAACGAACCCTCCAGTAGGAGTTGGTATCATCCCGACGCACCTAAAAGACAACAAGCCAGCAGAGTAAACGCGCCACGCATCCCAGATACACATACCAAGACGTCGATACGGTCGCATATCCTCCATGCACGTGGCGGTGCGTCGACGCGCCATGAGCATATCGTATACTTGACTCCGGAAGAACATGGACACGAGGGACGGAAAGCTAGGGTCTTGGACGATGCGGTCCCAGGTATCGTTGATCTTGGTGACGTTTGGTACTGGGGACGGACACCAGACGGGGTAGTTCATGGCCTGGGGAGGGAGGTTGGAGAATGGGATAAGGGGTAGTGGGGTCTCTTGTGGGAGGTCCCAGAGGGCATTGAGGGGTTCGTTTGGCTCGTGTTTGAAGAACCCGTATGATACGTGTAGGCCGAGATCTGTCAGGACTGCTGCAAGAGTCCAGATTTCTTCCACACGGGGCATGGGGCTGTCGTTGTTGACTAGGCCGTTCCAGGTGGTGTATGTCTCTAGCTTTTCGACTATCGTGGTGCAGCATTGGGAAGTGATGTGGTTTAGCGCGAGGTTCTGCAGATCGGAGTAGTGGCGCAGGTGCCAGAGCGCCCAGTGAGTACGGTACTCCTCGATCCAGGAGGGAGGGGCTGCATAGTCCTTGTTATCTATGGAGAGAAATAAGTGGGTTTCGACGGCGCTGCAGAAGTTCCGCCGCATCGTGAATAAGCAGGCGCATGCTAGACGTTGTATTTGTGCCGCGATTTGGATGATGTGTAGGAGCTGCGTACTGCTCATGCGGCGGTTCTCAGAGGTTGTATCAATATCATCATCGTCAATAACGCAGCAGACTGACTGACCCTGTATCTGAAGAACTTGATGGAATAGGCTGAGGATGTCTGGCATGGTCAAGATGTATGTCGATGCGAGCACGTCATCCAAGTCAATCAGGCATGGATCGTATTGGAAGATGGCCTTGACTCGCTCTGATACCAGCAGGAGACTCTCTAAGCCGATGAAATCTGGGATATATTGGATGATGAGCTGGATGGTTTCGGCCGGGAGGCGTTGAAAAGGATCCATTATTCCTCTAAGGTTGGGAAACTCCTATCTCACGTCGAATAAATGCAATCAGTGATCACAACAGAGTAAGCTGGAAGTTGGAAGTAAGCTTATCATGTATGGCAGATTCGCGTAAATTACCGCCATGCTTTGTCAGCGGATCGGAGGGTTTTCGCCTCGAGGACTTCCGTCATCTTCCACTCTCTCCCTCGCCCCTGGCAACGCCGCAATTCCTACAGTCTATGGTCCTTACTGACGCGGTGTACTCATGTATCACTCTCCGCCGTCCGTTGACCGGTCAGAAGAGAACGCCCAGAAATCGAGGAAGCGGATCGCAAGGGCCTGCGACTCGTGTTACAAGAGAAAGGTCGGTTTCACTGCCGGTGCATACCTCTGCCCTCTGACACCTGTAGATAAAATGTGATGCTGCTGAACCGCAATGTAACTGGTGCAGTCATCATGACATTCCATGTACCTTCACTCGGGTCATCACGCGGAAACGCAAAGCCAAACATGATGCACGGGGGTATGCCTAGATGCCGACAACGAAGTATTGGTGGGATAATTCTGACGGATGGATTCTAGCGAACGAGAAACGCCTGGCTTGGCCGAGCGCATTGAGCGCATAGAGAAATTCCTGACTGAGAATCTTTTGAAAGAGCCTAGTTCGTATGCCAGGTCATACTAAGTTCGACGTCCACTTACCATGTCTAGCACCATCCGCGACACCACCTAGTGTCGATCATCATGATACTCCTCCAGAATCACGTTTCTTGAATCATGCCCTGGATACACCACAAGAATCCCCGCCTCTGAATGAGACATCGGGCTCATCGTCGGTCGCTCTCCATTTCGCGGGCCGAGAGCTGGGGTGCTTTAGCTTATTCACCGGCATCCCATTACTGCTTCCGGAGGGAAAGCGATGGGTTCAATCACGGACCGGACAGAATATTGCCCTCAGCAGACTGGTCAGCTCCAACAAGCCGCCATGGGAAAGACAGCGGGCGTTGAGTTCCAATGCACTGGTGATGAACCCGCAGACCGAGAACGCATTCGAGCTGCCGGATCGAACGGTTATCCATAACTACCTCAATCTGTTCTCATTGTCATTCATGCGACGCATATTCCCTGTTTTGGATCCCGTTCTTTTCAAGGAGACCATCGAGAGCGCTTATCAGCAACGTCACCTCAAGTTCTGTTATGGGAAAGCTAGCCTCAAGGCATCGGTCTTCGGTTTCGCTGCTTTTGTGTCTCTTGTACCTCCGCCTGACCTCGAAACCCAATATAGGAGCTTGCCGGCTCTTGACGGCGAAGCCTACTTCACGAAGGCTCAATGCCTGTTGCCTCAGGTTCTGCAAGAGTCGTGCTCTGTGGAAGGATTGCAGGCGGTTATAATGCTGGTGAGTTCCAATTCCTCGATCCAATAGCAAGCTTTGCCGCGATAGGTTCAATGTCCAATGCCTATACACCTTGTCTGTCTTATCAATAAAGAAGGCTCCTGCTCTAACTCTACCAATAGGCACTCTATGAGCTGGTCACTGGTAATTTACAGTCAGCTAGCTATTACGGTTCGATTGCAGCTCGCATGATATTTTTACTAGGCGGGCACACCACAACCCCTCTTGCTGGAGATCCGGACTCACCGCCGGATGAGACCACCATGAGAATGCAGAAACATGTTCGACAATTGTTCTGGCTATGTTACACAATTGAGAAAGATGTGTCTCTCCGTACTGGGCAACCCCAAATGTTTTCAGATGACAATTGCGACCTGACAATACCCCCAAATTACGGTGAAAACTTATTCACCTGCCCCATTGACTGCCGACAGGCACCCTCGGAAGACATGCCTGAAGATCCAGTATACCCGGTGGATATTCGCCTGAGCATCATCAAGTCGCGAGCCTACAGTGCTCTATACTCATTCAAAGGCCTGAAGAAGACAGACGCCGAAATCCTCAAAGAAATCCGCGAATTGGACGATGAGCTGGAGAAGTGGCGTCTGTCAGTCCCTCTACAATGGAGACCTACATTATCCTTCTCACAGGAAACCCCAGACCCCAACGCCAACATGCACTCGGTCATACTCCGACTCAACTATCATCTCTGCATGACCATCATCCACCAAGCCAGCGGCCGCTGCCGATCCTGGTCCAAAGAACAGGGCGGGATCATGCACGGCGTAAACTCCAGTTTAGCTCTCTCCGTCGAAGCCAGTCGTTCGACATTACTCTACCTCCAAGCATCAGAACACGTGCTAATCGACGGCATATTCTGGTTCGTCCCTCCCTCCTTCTCCACCATCCTCTTCCTCACCTACCAAAACAACCCC